TGTGTGTGTGTGTGTGTGTGAGGATTAAGTGAGGTAATATTTGGAAAGCTCTTGAAAGAGTGCTTGCCACACAGGGTAAGTTCTCAATTAACATTAGATGTTGTATATTCAGCCAGTAGAAGTTGAACTCCGTGACCTCTAACATTATCTTTTTTAAAAAATATATAATTTTTAGTTATAGATGGACACAATACCTTTATTTTATTTATTTTCATGTGGTGCTGAGGATTGAACCCAGTGTCTCATACTTGGGAGGCAAGTGCTCTGCCACTGAGCTACAATCCCAGCCCACTARCATTATCTTGATTCAAATTTATTTATTTCCTAAAGAAAATTAAGCTTCCAATGATACTTGCTACTGTTTTTTTTTTTTTGTTGTTGTTATTTTTTTTTGTGTGTGTGTGTGGTAGGAAATGGTTAGCAATAAGTGTTGAAAAGGCAAATAGTTACATAGACATGGAAAAAAAACCCCACATAATTTTCCATCTCCCATTTCATATTTTATTAGTGGGCAAAAGATTCTAATTAATGTCTTGGTTCTGTTCTTTGGAAAAAAGAAGTTACATGGAGAGAAGGATGAGAACAGTAGCTTGTGAACTTAATTTTCTTTCAAGTGGTGGTGTCAAAAGGCCATATATCATCCTGAAGGGAGTGAAACTTGTATTATTCATAGAATTATAAAATGGTTGTTACCCAAACTTTCTTGTAGAACTTGCAAGGCTTAGAGAAATGACATGGTCTCTGGATGTTCATATTATTTTTGATGTCAACCGTATTTCACATTTTCTTAGAAACTTCAAACGCCAGCTATTGTATGAGACAGACTGAGTGTGGTTGATGATTTTATAGGAATGGTGAGAAGTAAAAATTATGGCGTAAGGGAAATGAGATTTTTGGAAGGCCGCACTGGGGCTATGTATATATATGTATATATGTATTAAGTTTCTTCTGGGCATTTGGTTATGTAGTCATCCAAAGTTTCCTTACTTTTATTTTCTGTTGTTGACTTCAGTGCCAGGATGTTCTGTCTGTGATCCTGGATTCTCTGTTGCCTGTTTGATCTGGGAGCATAGTTTGCTTTTCACTACTGGGTTCTTCTTGGCATATCTGTTCTGGCCAGGCTATAGGTACAGAGGCAGGGACTGGCCCCGCATTATCTACTGTATGCTACCACTTCCCCAAGCCCACTTTCTGTAGAAACAAAAACTCCTAAGCCTCATGGAACACAGGAGGTATTCATGCTCAAAGTAGAAAGGCTCAGAATAGTTCAGTGTGAGAACAACATGGCTACAATCCTATCAGGAAGTCCCTAGAGACCATCCAGTGAGAATTCTTGGAACAAACATGTCTTTGGAGTAGATGGAATCTAAACATAATGTTCTGGTGATACTTTAATCTCTAAAGACCAGAAAAGTTCAGGAGACAAAATTGGCAAGTGTTTGAAAAGTAATAAAATAGTTACATTTATAGATTTTATGGTACCTTCATTCTTGATTATCTTTATAAAATTCCCACCATTCCTGTAGACAGATCCTATAGCAGGGCCTGTGAACTGTATTCTTTGCTTTAACAAGAAAAGATGAGGATTCTGGTACCCTGCCAGGCAAGCTAAGTTTGAAGGGAATATGGAAAGTCAGATTTGCCTCTTTTTTTACCTTCCCACGATTTGTCCTTCTTTCTAAACTGTCAAGCTTCCTTTCAATTTATAAAGGGCCCAGAAATCTCTAGGGCTTCTCTTTGTATGTTTCTGTATGTTCACTAGTAAGGTATCCAAAAGAACAGGACCTATGGGGTGTGCCTCATGTTGTGGACTATTCTCATCATTTGCTTCTTTTCTTGCCACCCCAGACACCACAATCTCAAACATGTAAATAAAATTACTCAATTGGTTTTAGTCCCTTCTCTCAAAACATTTAGCTTTTGTTGTCTCTGATAAAAAGTGGGATAGTCCATGAAGACCATTTAAAAATTTTTCTTATAAGACGGATAGTTAAAATATAAAATTAAGACAGTATTATTCAATAAGGTTTCAAATTAGAAAATCTTTGGTCTTTTTGGGTTTGCAAATTGTACTAAATACTATCATGCATCACCTAGTTCCAGCACTTATTCTGAGAAATGCGCTGTTAGGCAATTAATTATTGTGTGAACATCCTGGTGTATACTTACACAGACCAAGATGGCGACAACATCATTGAGCGGTAGAAGTTCATGAGACCACCTTCATATATGTGGTCCATTCTTGACCAAAATGTCATTATGTTGTACACAGATGTCACCATAGTTTCAATATGGATATGTTCTCCCAAATGTCTGTGTGTTAAAGACTTGGAACCCAGACGGGTGATAAGAGGAGATACTATTAACCTTTAAGAAGTAGTGCCTGGTAGGAGGTCCTTAGGTCATTGAGGGTGCATTCAAAGGGGACTGTGGGACCCCCATCTTTCAGTCTCACTTTTTCCTGTCTCTGTGCCTGAGTAGTTTGCTTGGCTGCACACTTTCATCATAATATGCTACCATCACCAGAGGCCCAAACCAATGGGGCCATCCAATCATGGACTAGAACCTTCAGACCTGAGAATAAA